AAGTTTAATCAAAAAGGAATGTTTTAAGCCTTCCCTTAAAAGTTGACATTGTGTCTGCCTCACAGACTAAAGTTGGTAGTTGGTTCCATAGAAGAGGAGCCTGACAACTAAAAGATCTACCTGCCTTCTTCTTTTAGAAATTCTAAGAACCACTAGTAAACCTCCAGATTGAGACTGATGAGTATATGAGAATGAGGATTTTAAATTCTAATCTGGATTTAACGGGAAGCCAATGAACAGAAGCTATGATAAGATACTATATGATTTCTCTTTAATTTTCATCAGATCTCTGGCTGCAGCAGGTTGGATCCGCTGAAGGCGTGGACTTCTTGATAGTAAAGAATTACAATAGTCCAAACTTAAAATAATGCATGGACTAGTTTCTCAGCATCACCCCTGGATAAGATATTTCTAGGAAATTCTAGAAAGCTCTTTGATATGGAATTTACTGTAAATGACATTTCCACATAAAAACAACCACCAAGATTTTTTACTTTATTATCTGAGATTAATTTAATCCTATCCAAACGAAATGGCTAATCAGCATATTTTGCAAAGACTCTATTCCAAAGACAATAACTTCTCTTATGTCTGCATTCAGAAGTAGAAAGTTATCAGGTTTTTTATGTCTTTGAGACATGCCTGTAGTCTATGGAAGCATGCAAGATACGCACCTTACACAAACACATCACAACACACATGAATATATTCAGAAAAAATATGGATTTAATAATTATTCATAATAAAATAATCATTTAATTATTCATTTAGGAAGATATATATTTATATTTATGTAATGAATGTATTGCAAGAAACATTGAACATTTACTAATATGACACTTTTTAATATATTAAACAATTGGCTTTCCATATCTGCTGCAGTCACAATTGATCCTCATTTTAAATTTATGCTTGTGACATTTCTAAATTTGAGTTCAAAATGTTATGGTCAAAATGTTACCTAGCCAGTTGAGATTCTATAGTAAGATTGTCTATTTATTCCCCTCCACTGCTACACCTGCCTGATCCTGATGTTGGAGCAGTGGACTACAGCCTGTACAGAAGTGAAACTTTAACTGCGGTTTGAGGCCATTCCTCAGGAGAAAGCTGCAGTACTGTTTCTGTGGTTCTGCCGGATGAAAGGGGAAAATTCAGCTCTGTTATTTCCTGTCTCTAAGTGTATCATTTTGTATTTTACCTTAGCAACTTTAAACAAATTTTAAATAAGGTGTATCAGTAGCCAGACCATTTGGTTGAAATGGGAGGTGTGGGTATTTCCCCAATAATGCACATAACAAGAAAATAATAATAGGAAAAGATTGCAAGCCTATTTCTTTACAAATATTTTTTGTAACATTTTTGTGGTATTAGCCATAATTTGAAGGCACTAGTTCTGGTTTACTCTTACTTCTTTTAATCTTTAAAAATATGAATAAAGTGTGTTAATCTTAGTTGAGTGCAATGTTTGGGAATTTTACCCATCTACTGAAACTTTGGCCAGATGATATATTTGGGTAGTAGTTTTTTTTTTTTATCTATCAGTATCGGCTGATATGTGCTTGCATTCATCAACTCATTGGTGCATTCAGCAGCGATGCCCTGAGACCATATAAAGTCTTTGCATTGCTGCTCCCTCTTTTTTATAGCAATTGTTGATATTTGGTTTGGTACTAAATATTTTTTTTTTGTCACTGTTAAGAATAAGCCCCAAATAATCGATAGACATATGGCGGATCTGTTAGACTGATGTAATAATGATCAGTATTGAACTTAAAGAACCTGGAATGTTTGATTGCTAAAACAAAGTAACAAAGCAGGCCTTTTATCACCTAAAGAACCCCATCCTTGATTTAAAAAAAAATGCCTGAGCAGAGTCTTTAAAAACTCATTCTTGTGTGATCTGTAATAGAACTTATACTGCTATTTTGTCTACACAAGTCTGCCTAAATATCAAACAAATGTTTATTCAAAATTCTGCTGGGTGCATCCTCACTAAAACTAACAAAATCTAGCACATCACCCCCATTCTAAAGTAATTTCACTAGTATGCCGTATCTCAGAAAATAGATTTTAAAATACTTCTGTCACTATTTAAATCACAGAAGTATATTGCAGACTGCTGTTTGTGTGTCAACTGCCCAGACCTCTCATGCCTTATGGATGAAGTCTACTTTGCAAAAATATAATACTGAACATTACAAATGGCCCATTAGCCTGACTCTATGCATATGCTCTGCGAAATTCCAATACCAATTGAAAAATCATTCAGGTTTTGTTAATTAATATGAGTGGGGATATCAGTAAGTATATGCAGGCAAAATAAACCTTTTCAAGCTTTAAATGGGCCACTCAAAAAGAATGAAATTGCCACATTATAGAAAAAGCACTGCCTCTATTGACCAGCAGATGGCTCTGTTGTGAAACTGATTTCCCTCTTCTATATTCTCTTGTTGATTTTCTTTCCTCTGAGCTATTTCTGTAAATATCAACTATGAAATACCTTTCTCTCATGCAATTCTTTCATTAAAAATACCATAGCCTAAATGTAGCATAAACTTAGCCTAAATGTAGCATAAACTTACTTTTTTATTCTCCCTTTATTCTAAAGCATATAGCACTGATAATTTAAGGTTATGCCTTTGACAACCATTCTTGACTCCTTTTTGTTAAAAGGGTGTGTTGTCATTTTGCAAAAGAATCCTGTCACAAGAGCAAAAGAAACAGTTTAAGTAATTACTTCACTTCTGACATTTGAATATTTTTTCGACATGTACTCACATAAAGAGGAAGATCAGCATGGTACACGATGTGACAGATAAACAAGTTTCATGTGAGCCAAGACTTTGAAATAACTTCATCAGTATTCATGACATGTAGCTTCCAGTCAAACTGCCATTGCTTACATCTGAATATATTCTACAGTGTCAAACAGAAAGAGAGGCATAACAGATTTAGTTCCCTTCTAAAATAAAGTAGAGAGAGAGATTTCTCTCAACATCTCCATAAATATCACCAAAGGGGATCTCCAAAGATTTCCTGATGGATAGCCTTGAACACATCAGTCAGCTGGCATGATTCCAATAATCATCAATGACTTTGGATACTTCACATTCTCAACCAATTTAGATTAGGCCCCTATAGCCACACTTTCTCAAGACATAACTCCATAAAACATGATGAGAACAAGCATGAAACAAGCATGAGAGTTTGACCCCAAAGACAAAGTTAGACAGATGTTCATGCATTTCTAAACATGTTTGAGTTTCATTAAATATTTGCAAAAAAGCTGGGTGTTACATTTATTGTAATTTGCAAGCAATGGCAATTGAAATGAAGAGTGGTGAGAACAGCAAAGAAGATCATTGCATGTCCTGATCCCCTAACATCAACCATTGACTGTTCTCACTGCTGCCCTCTGGGAAGAGGCTTCGCAGCTTTCAACGCAGGTGCAGCAGATTCCGAAACAGCTTCTTCCTCACAGCCATCAGGCTGCTCAACTGTTAAGAGATATCTAAATCTTGTCACAAACTTTGCATTAAACCGATAATGCCAAACCAAAAATACTGCATTTTTGCACCATATATATTTAATGCTCTAAACTTCCATATCAATACGTTTTTTTTTCTCCTACAATGTTTACATTTGATCACTGCTGCACTCTGTTATTTCATGTCATGAAAGCTGTACAAAAATGAAATTTAATTTTGTATACACTCGGTGTATAGAAAATTACAATAAAAGTTGTCTAACAGAGTCTAGCAGATGCAAATATTTGAGATATACTTAAAGCCATGCATGTATATTCTCAGTCTCTGCCATCAAATGAGAGTAAGCAATGTCCTTGTGTCAGTCATTTAGGTTTATTAAAATTATAATATTTTCTAAACAGGGATTGGATTTTAATCATTTCGAATTTTTTCATACTCGGGGGTTTACATCGTGGAATCAACTTTAAAGATGCATAACTAGGATCATACACTTTGAGTCTCCTCTCTTAAGTGTCTAACATTAGATTGCTTGAAATTTGACCCTTTCCTACTAAGAGAACTGGTTTAAAAAAGTAGTGTTTGTGGGCTGCCTAGTTCACATACACCTTTTAGTGTATTTTATTATTATTTTTTTTTTTGTGTGTGTGTCCAATCGCTGATCTCACATTGTCATCTATTTTGAGAAGTTTACAACAGACTATTAACACCATATTCTAGACCCCGAAGTTATGATGTTGTTCTCAGGTTTGTAAACATCAGAATCAGAAATACTCTAAAAATCCCAGAGGGAAATTACTTTTGATACACGCTCCAGATACAGTTTATATATATATATATATATATATATATATATATATATATATATATATATATATATATATATATATATATATAGCTATGAATCCAAATAAGTGATAGTGACGTTGTGCAAAAGTCGTGCAAAAGTAGTGCTAGGGATGATTACAGAGGTGCGAGTCCACACATCCCTCTTTTTCTCTCACCATTGGCCATTATGGTCAAAAACGTGTCATCAGGACGCAGAACATGATACCAATTAAAGTATTTTTCCCTACAATCAGTAAATATATATATATATATATATATATATATATATATATAATCAAATCAAAGTTTACAACATAAGGAAGACCAAAGTGCTTCACATAAAGATAAAAAGATTGCAAAAAAAACTAATAAAAAACTAATCATACGCATAAAACAATGTGTCCTAATTATTAAAAAAAATGGATATATATATATATATATATATATATATATATATATATATATATATATATATATATATATAAAAGAAAAAATGAATATAAATAATTATTTTGGAGGACTGGTGTTTAAGCTGTTAATAAGCAGTAAATATACTTTTAAAACGTGTTCTAATATTTTTGGAGTGCGTCTGTATTTGTTGGAAAAAACGCTGAAAACGGTCAAACTTGGCAGAGTATTTCGGTAGATTGACAACAAAGCTCGTGCGCGTTCACGAGACATACACAACTTTTGTTCCCTAGAAACGACTCATTTCATGACAGACTGTTACAGATTCAATGGTGCCCTTTAATTTGCTGCAGCCGAGCCGAACCAGCGCCGACCACAGTGATTCACCGACGGAGGTGGATTAGCATTAGTTAGTTTGTCTACCAACAACAGAAGCTCTCGGTTGTGAGGGAGAAAAAAAACTTCCTTCCCTCAGCTAGCGAGTTAAGTGAATGAGCTTTGTTAGCCTGCTAACTAGCCGAGCTGACAGAAAGCAACGCCAGTCTGCTCCTCAGGCTGCCGGAGTAACAACTTCAGCTTAAACACCGGGCTGCGACTATGGGCAGACGGAGCAGCACTAAAGGTAAGACACGGAGCCAACAGAGCTAATTATGAGTTCTGTAAGAGGATAAATGAAGCTATTAAAAGGTTTATAAAGGAACATTTATTTTCGGGGTGATGTGTTTGCTTTAACAGGCATCCTCACGCATAAACCCCCCAGTCTACATAAAAAAAAACTGGTCCGTTGCATCAGTTGAGAACATCCGCTTTCAGTGCAAACAAAATGTGCTTTCTTCTCAGGGCTCCTGCTGCCGTTAACATGAATCCTCTCTGTAATTCACAGACGGAGCTCAGAGCACCGAAGAAGCCCCTCATTCTACAAGAAGCAGGCAGCAGATATGAGCATGGAGAGATGATACCGCACATTTTATACTACAGAAGCAGTAGTATCAGTTATAATACAACACTGGGCAGGATATTGGTGTGAAGCTGGAAGATATTTCGTTTTTTTTGGGGGGGTGAGACCGAGGTGCCTATGGCGGAGTTCGGGGAGGACAGAAGGCTCCCTCCGGTGAATTTTGGGAACAGCTCCGTTCCCAGCGACGAGGCTGCGGTGAAGACGCATTGCGAAGTGTCCCTTCTGAATGGAGACTGTGGGATTCCAGACGGTATGATGGGCTCCGGCTGCCCGCTCACTCCTGGCACTCAACCCGGAGGGGAAAACGCCAACACCTCCGTGGGGACGGATGCCAAATCTGAAATACCACGCAGGAGCAGTATTATTAAGGTAAGCTTTTAAGTTGGGCTATCTGCATGCTTTCTGATGCTGGAGTTACAGCCTTCCTGTTGGGTTAACTGTGTGTGTTTATAGTGAAAAGGTGTTTCCCACAGCACACATCAGTAATCAGGTAATCAGGAACACACCCTGTACTGTATGTAATCAGAGTTTGATTTCTATGCTGTTGTCAGTGTATATTTACTGAAGGCCAAAACAGCTGCAAATAATGGGGATGTAACTGGAACTACTATAGTCTTAGTGTTAATATTGGAACCTAAACAAAGTCTGAAATATCTAGAGAAGAAAAACAGAAACTCTTGATCCAAACACTAAAGACATTTAGACAGACTTTAGTATGGGGTGTTTTTGCTGTCATATACTGTCATTTAACTAATTTCTTAGAAGAAGAGATGCACCGATTGAGTTTTTCCTGGCTGATACTGATGCAGAAGTTTGCCTTTCTGTCCCTTTATTGAAATATGCAAAGGTCCGGACTGGGATCGATTTTAAGTCCTAGCATATCTTTCATTTACGGTGTAAATGATTCAAAACAACAGGTGCAAAACCCCATCGTGCACCGCGACATAAATTCGCCAAATATAAGAGGAACATCGTAGTTCAGTTTAAAGAAAGCACTTTAGTTTTATTTTAATTTAGTTTGCTGCAAGGATTTTTCACTTTGAAGAAATAGGGAATTACACCATCTATGCCAACTGTCACAAGGATGTGGATGACAAGGAAGGGCTATACTGTATGCATCATATAAGAAGTTAATATTGCATTATTTCTTGAGCTCCTTAAATTATTTACTGTCACAGGTAGATGCTGCGGCTGGAGAGTAAATATGAGGTCCGGCCCTCGCACACTAAAATTAGGACCGGCCCACCGGGCAACTGCCCGGGATCACAGATTACCAGTTCGAGCCTGTCTATGCATAATATACAATCTTTTCTGTAGTGCTACGTTCACACCTAAAGCAGCAAGAGCAGCAAAAACGTGCATGCTACTTCATTTTTTATACTTGTACAACTTTAGTTCTGGTGGAAAAGTGGATCTGATTCGCGTTGGGCGGAGCTACTGTATCCTTTCTTTGCCTGTAACAATGGCAGCTATATATGCTGTGATCAGTGGGAATAAAGTGGTTTTAATGTGTTTTTAAGTTAGAAAGTCCACATGAAAACTTACTCTGTGCAGTCAGTTCATCAAGATTATGATCCTGTATTTAAATGTTATTTCGCTGTCAAAGCCACTCAAAGCCCAACATACCGGCGGTGCTCTGTCATTGGAAATCCCATCCAACAGCAGCCACTGGCATTTTAAGTTAATTTAGGCGTTAATAAACTGTTTCTGAGGAATGATTATAGCGATCTTCATCAGCAGTGCTGTGTCTGTCTCCCTGCCAGCTCACAGATCAGCTTCCCTGATTGGTTGATTTGGCGCGTCGTGCAGCAAAAGTTTAATTTTTCGAACTCCTGCAGCAGCGCATCGTGTGCATCAGATGCTCAAACGCTTACGACGCGCTGCTTCAGCTGCTCAAAACGCGCCGCGGGACCTTTTACTTTGCATGTAAAATAGTTGCTCTTGCTGCCTTTGCTGCTTGCGATCTGAACGTAGCATTAAGGACTCAGCAGTATTAAACTGCTTCAGTCTATTTAAGTATTACAAATTCCATCTAGGTTAATCATGACATTGAAGATTACATTCAAAAGGTATGAGGATGCATAGGAATTTGTTGAGTCAGTCAAGGACTACCTACCTCACGTATGTGTAGCTCAACCGCTGGGCTAGTCACAAGGAGGAGGCAGGAAGAAAGCAATCCAAAAAAGAAAAACCAAATAATAAAGGAGTAAATTAATTTGTCGATGTAAATTTCACAGTTTTGTACCACAATCCCAACTGTTTGCGCTAAGCAGTAATACCTGAAAACGATTTATTCCCCCAGGGTTGATCGATTATCCAGATTTAAATCTGTTTTGTCAAACTTTTGACACTTAAGCAGTCCTTGCAAAAATAATACAAGTAATCTGAATATAAACTAAATTTACAAATACAATATGTGGTTCTAGAGAGTATGATCACTCAGCTGTACTGATGAATGACAGAGAAATCCTTTAAAAGCTCATCATTAGTTTCTAAATTTCAGCCATTGGCAGAACAAATTTGAGAGCAATGTGCCTCAGCTTTAAGTACATCAGAATAATTTTTAGTAAGGTTTTCGAAGCCTTTTTCAGACCGCCCTTCCTTGATTTAGAGTTATTTTTACTCTTAGCTATCAACTGTAAGGTACTGATATGCAATGGGTAGGGTTGCAACAACGAATCGATAAAATCGACTTTTAAAAGCGTTGGCAACGAATTTAATCATCGATTAGTTGTGTCACGCGATTAATGCGTCATCCGCCGCCGCCGTCATCACATCCACTTGACTGAAACAGGGGAAGAAAAAAAAATACGGCAAAGCGAGTCAGCGCCGCAGGTGCAGTGTTGCCAACTCAGCGACTTTTCAGACCCCCTCCAGCGACTATTTTTCAAAAAAGCGACTAGCGACAAATCTGGCGTCTTTTTTCGGTGTCACTGGCGGCTTTTGGAGACTCTTACGTGAAAGCATGTATGGTTCCTACTCTGCCTTGGGACGCCTCCCCCATCCCAACCCCGTTCTACCTCTCCCACAGGAGTCCCTCTCAGCGCTGCAGTCAGAGCCTCAGCGTCCAGACTGCAAATGAAGCGCGCATGCACCGGGATTGACGGTGCAAATTGATCACAATAATTAAAATAGCCTGCGCTTTGTGAAGTGAAAAAACTCGTAACATGCAACTTTTGTAAAAACAAATGAACATGGCACGGAAGCACCACTGTTATGACGCAGCACCTGAAAAGAAAACATGTTGGAGCCTTCAATGGCAGTGAAGAGAGCTGATCAGCAGGGTGAGCGACCATGTTTGTTTGGTTTTAAAGTGGGGAAACGTAACGTTAGTTTCTCAGGTAGCTCATCTGATGCTTTCCTTACCGTGTTAGTAGGTTACAGACAGTGATAAGGTTGGCTACTTATTTTACTTTTAATTTCATTTGAATTAGCTTAAGCAGTGTTTATATTTTCTTTATAAATAAATTAACTTGCAAATTATGAGGGCAAGGCTTTTAAAGTTTAAATCTTCTCGCAAAGATAAAGTAAAGAAGATCCTGCAATTTATGGAAGTAAAGCAGAATAAAATCCAGCAAGATCAGTAATATGTCAATTAATTATATGCCACATTCCCATGTAAATATCTGTCTTTGGAGGATGTGTTTTTTACCACCCCTAGTTCTCTCATTTTTATTCCAAATACAATTTATAATTTGAATCACAGGGCTATTTTTATCTCTATGGTTAAGTATTTTCTCAAGTAGCATCTTTAACTGCTACGGTATACTTTCCTGTCTTAAAAGGCAGAACTCTTATCTCTTCTAGTCTCAAACTCATTTGTTGAAATGGGGGGACCTATTGTTTGAACCCCTTAGGGGCTTTTAAAAACAAAAATGTCTTTTTTTGCACCTTATGAAACAAAGTACCCTATATTTTGTGGATGTACAGCTACATTTCTCATGTAAGTTTGCGTAGTTTTAACACAAACATTTATTTTTCATATTGCACCAGGACAGTTAATGAGCAACCTGTACTTGTGTGCTTGTTTGTTCTGTCTAAAATGTTTATTTTGGAATAAAGAGGTTAATATAAAAAATATTTTTTGTCCGATTCATCGATTAATCGAAAAAATAATCGGCCGATTCATCGATTTTTAAAATAATCGTTAGTTGCAGCCCTAGCAATGGGGGGGTAGAAGTGCTTCTTGTCCACCTTTGGTGCTAGTCATAAAGCTGTAAGTAGCGTTAACTGCCTTTAGTAATAACGACTTTGTGCACTGAGGTGATGCAAAAGCAAAGACAGCTGCAGAAGCAGCAGGGAGTCCGACAGATTTGTCTGTTTGGAAATACTTAAGGTTATTACCGAGCCAAAACAGTCACAATGTTTATAATAAAGGAGTGGCACTCATCACTTATTGGGACCGCAGGCTCTACCCAAAAAAGATGGACATTTTGTTTTTTTTGTATTACTGTTGTTTTGTATTACTGCATTAAGGACAGAAAATCAAAACAGCCCATTAATAACTAATAAATGAAGGACAAACATTTCATACTCATTATTTTTTTCTTAATTTACTTATCAAAATCAAGAAAGTAAGCCATCAATAGCATAATCAAAACTGTTTTTATACAAATATATTGGATATTTTCTGTAAACTGGTACTTAAATCGTGATACTGTAAAACCAACACATTTTAACCTGAGGTTATCTTCCCAGGATAATGTTGGACCAGCTCAATAGTTTTGGATGAGTGTGATACTAAAGAAAGAGAGTGTTTAAAAACAGTTTTTGGTCAGTATATTTATCGTTTGAAGTAATATAAGCTATAAATATAACTATAGTAATATAACTATGAATATAATAAAAGCAGAACTAAAATTTTTGTACAGAGTTAACATTTAAAAGTTTGATGTTGAACCTGAAACAGAAGATTTTATTTATTTGTTATTGATTTACATGACAAACAAATATCAGTGGTATCCTATTTTAATTTTTTACTATGATTCTTGGTGTTGTTTGTTTTCTGCCCATAACTTTGTCTCAGAGGTTTTAAGAGTCGAAGTGGAAAAAATATTCAGTCAAGTTTAGAACACCCCTTTCTCACATGCATGCTCACACAGGCTGAAGCGGAAAGTTTGACTTCAAGCAAAGAAAAAACAAAACCAGAGTCATAGTAACTGATCTTTCCGATGTGAGTTTCAGGTGTTGCCCAAAGATTGGGCAGTACCCATTTCTTCATACATTTAAAATGTTACGCAATTCAAAGCTACAATGCATTATTGTCTGCTAAGCAAGTAAGATTATGTGCTTTTTGTAACTTAGGGCATATGTAGGTTTCCTTATCTATATTTTAACCAAGTTTATTTGATTAATGATGTAACACACAA